GCGTGATGCTGCAGAACACGTCCAGCATCACCACAACATAACACGGGTGTATGATGTGACGTCGGATTCCTCATACGGCATAGAAGAGCATTAATTCGTGACGTCAGAGTCTTCATACGGCATAGAAGAGCATTAATTCGTGACGTCAGAGTCTGCATACGGCATAGACGAGCACTATGTGACGTCAGATTTCTCATACGGCATAACATTGCAACCCCTCTGACGTCAAGTTCACGTCACGGTATAACACAGCGCCAGGTTGTGGCATCAGGCACAGCACGGTATAATACATTATCGCGCATGACACACCACCGGAAATATACTTTATGACACTCTTCAAAGCATAACAGCATGACAGCATGAGAGTATGACAGTATAACAGTTTCTACAGTGTCACAGCTTAATGCAAACACCAGGTATACTAACACTACACGTTCAGATATATATCACGAGTAATTTTGATATAATTTTAGCATCTATGATCACTTGATTAAATCACAGGTGGATCATAAATTAACAAATAGAAAGCAAAAAAAACAAAACAACAAAACAAAAAAAAGATCAAGATTGTAACACTTCACTTCCAAAATTTACAAAATTCAATAACAGAAAGTCTGTAACCAATAAATACTTTTTTTTCTTCTTAATTTTACGTTACTTTTACTTGCGCTCAGATGTACAATCTCCATCTCCTTCTTTAACCCATTTTCTATGAAGACACAAAACTGAAACCACATTTTTGTTTCTTTTATTATTTGTCTAACACAGTCACCCCTCAATACTGGGTCAAAGTTCTCTCTTCAAAATATATCTGCCACGAAAATATATCCACCATAAAGAATATTCCATTTATAGGAGATTCATCGCGAACAACTGTTCTTTATAGGGTATACACTTTCAAAGTATCAGCTGTGAATATTGAAGTCAATTTATTGCATATCCAACATAATTAACAACCGCATAAACTGTGAGGTCTGTTACGTCAATTTCTAACAAGCACTATCAACACCATTTAAGTTATTCCGTTCACAACCACACTGTATTCACCGTCAAAATTATTCCGGTACAAGCCATTCGATTTGCACTATTAAATGCATCACAAACACACCATATAATCCGATTTTTTTTTCTTTCTTATTTTTTTTCACAGCCAAACTTATATTCACAACATTTCTACAACCACCAAAGTTCCTCCGTTCACAACCCCCTTCTCCGTATAATCACCACCCAAAAGGACCAACCAACCACGAACTACCACTCTCTAACCACCACCCAGTTTCCTTCTCAACCACA